CCTCCATAAAGCGAGTTACGATGAAGAACAGGCGTTGTCCCTAATTGGAAAGAAGAACAATAAGAAGATATCAGAAACAGTAAAACATGTTAAAAAAAACGCCAAGAGATAAAAATTAGTGTCAGGTTGAATCATGTAATGTTGTTGGTTGTCTTATTACAAATTTCTTTGACCCCTGTGTTTGCATTATTATTCAACTGTATTTTATATCATCAAGCAAATTAAAAACCGACGACAAATACAAAAGCAAAGCAAGAGGCAAAAAGTTTGCAAATTGAATAGATAAATATAGCTGTTAAGAGCAACATTCCAGTGATGCTCCATAAAAGAAATTGGATGGATAAAAGTGACATTCAACCTAGAGAAAATTACTCCTTTTAAATTATCGCAACAATTTGGTATAACTTAAGATGGAGACCGTTTGAAAATAGCTACACTTTCGAATGTTAAATAAATATTGCATAGTTACTAGAAGTTGTAGAGAAAAATATTAGACCCTGGTAATAGGAACCGCAATATTTGATTACGAAACATGAAGTTTAAAATATGAAATCTAATTTTGACTCATCCACTCTAAGCTGCGCAGAACAACGTTGAGTGGGCAAATYAGTTATTTTGAAAAGAAAAGTTTAGCACCTGTGTCAAACTGAGGCATCGAATTTCATGCCAGATCATTCCAAAACCAATAGAGCTTTAAAAAATGTGCTCAATTTCGCTTTTTCTGGTCCATTTCAAATTCTTAGTATCGCTGCATGTCCCATTTATTTCAAAACGGCTTTAGTAGATGCTACGTGAAGGTATTCAAAAATGCTGTCACACAAAATAAATTGAAATTTTAGTTTAAGTTAAGTCATATATTTAATTGAAATAAATATATACTTTTTATGAAATATGTGTTTAAAAATATCATAAAATTGCAACATATGTATACAACGTGCGTATAAAAGTTCTATAGAATGCTTCAAAACTTCACTAAATATATTTCCAATAGGTACTAAAATTTATTTTTACTATACCAAAACTATAAATGTACACAAGGTCTAATAAAACTGACACGATATTGTGTCGTCTATGGTAGTGGTGTCTATGTGGTCTTTATAGGGGTGAAACGCTGCGTCTCAATAACATATATGTTTCAGTTAAACATATTTTCCGTCATATACAGTAGAAATTTTAATCACTTATACGTTCAATGTGCATTTAGTAATCTAATAAGCCAACTTACCCAAAATATAAAGTTAAAAACCATCAGGAGGGTTTTAATGCGGGGAAGGCCTGCAACAATCTGCAAATGTTTACCCATATTCTCTAATAATTGATCAACCGAACTCTATAGAAATGAATTGCGATGTGCTGGGACAATGCTTATTATGATGTATTCGACGGCAGTATATAATTGGAATTATCACAATTGTATCAGCGGAATTGTCCGAGTAGCAAGAGATTTAACATTTTTAACGAATAAGTTTTGAGATAGCTTTAATTAGCAGACTTTCGATAAGGTTATTTAGCTCGATAGGTCTTTATTAATTGCAGTTCAAGTTATCAATTAATTGATGCGGGAAAATTGATGAAAGCCAATGGGGGACTGTTTCTAATATTATTTATTTTTGTGAGTACCACCTTAAATAACACTTTTTCAATCTTATTCAAAATTGCAGATTTCGGATCGCAAGTTCCCGAAGACCACACGTAGCCATCATATGATTCCCGATAACCAAAACTAGTTCGTTAAAAGTTCGTCTCAAAATACTGACCTACTGATTAATTCCTCTTTACCTCGATTCGCTATCGGTTCTGTTAATACCCGAATTTCGAATAGCAAATCTTAAAAAGAATGCAGTGTTCGTACAAATTGAAGCACAGGCAATGATGTCTACACATGTTGCAAAATAGTTTTTTCAGCACGAAAAAAACGCAAATGAAAATTATGTTATATCAACGATTTCCGACACCTATTAAATCATCCAAATTTTCGGAAAAAGCGATTGAACTAGTGATGGGCATTATCGAATGAATTSGACTATCGAATRTTTGCAACTATCGAATAAAATAATTCGAATGAATTMATTCATTGAATAGTGCGCGCTATCTAATGCAATGTGGGTSAGTCACAAACTACAAACTTATATTCTTTTGAAAATACAGGTTTCTAGTTAATATGAACTAATTTAATACTTTATTMATAACAGAGTAATGCATGTTTATTAGCACGATGCCAATATGACRTAGATATATAAATAGAATTTCATCGAAATCCAATTCCATGCAATTCGTATTGTGTGTAGAACTGTGGACTGTTGGACACMACTTATTTGTTTCTGATCGAGTGTGAATAGGTTGATTTATTTTAGGCAGGTTAATTTATAAYTTACGAGTTTTTWAAGGAATTTCGGTAAGACGTAAGGTTACCGAACAGGCCAAGTCACATTTCTACAGGKTCGGTCTATTCTCTACTATCATATGTTACACACACTACTGAGATTTATACCTATAAATCTCATCAGCGTGAAATTATGCAATTTATTGTCCGGATGTTTAATACAAACCACCCACGGTCTCCCAAGACGAAAGAAAACCGAATTTAGATGCATGAGTTTTTCATATTCCTAGAAGGGTTTTGGAAATCTTGGATACGATATGGGCGATTTTCTTTGAAAGTCGTGAAAGTCCATTTTGACAAAAAAATAGTTAATCATAAAAATTAATACAATTTACCATAAACTTTCTTTAAAATCTGTTGAATTTTTGAACACAAAATTTTAATAAATTAATATTGAACATATCTGCTTAAAAAGTGATAAATATATTTATTTCAAATTTGAGTTTGTTCATTGCAATGGAATTATAGCTATCGGATTGTCCGATAATTAGAAAACACATGAATATAGAATACACTGCTATAGAATCAGATAAAACAAAGTTAAAGAAAATAAAACTTACTCGTCAAATTACAAAGCGAACATCCCCAAGAGCACCGAGCCGAACATGCTAAAACAGTGGTTAGAAATGGTCAAAATGGTCTAAAAGGCTAAAATTGTATATGACARACTTACGAGAAAACAAAATGAAGTTWTGAAGGGCAACGAGAGGGTTCGGCGACTGGCCTGGGTAGAATTATCTGGCCACTTACGCCGACTAAACATTTAAAATAAGACGTGGTATCGTTTCTGCTATGATCAGCATGATTTCACTATAAAAGTACCCACAGCAGAAACGAGAATTCAGCTTAAAGTCTATGGTTAAGTCCGTTTACTGAACAGCTTAAAGATAGTCAGATCGGTTAGGTTCGGTCACATACATTTAAAATCCATATTATAAAAATTGTATTAATTTTGAAATAAAAGTGTTTTTAAAAACGCAAGTTTCAAATTAATCAATAAAATTGTAGTCACAGGCAATCCAAAACATTAATTGAAGTCCCAAGATCAAAACCAAAAGGTCTTGTAAAGAGAAAGGGGACAAATAGTATGCTCAAAAGTGAAAGTAAAACAATGACAGTCTTATAACATCCCGACCATTTAACTGAAATACAATCTGAAAAACCAATTAAGTGATGACTCTTGGGATAGTTACAGAGTGAAATCCGTACAATCATTTAAAAATTGGAGAAAAATTACAATTTAGGTTGACTTGTGTGTTGGTGCACTTCGAATCACCCTTCGCTGCCTCCCTATGAATCTCCAATTTCTCCAGCAACTTCAGTCTAAAGGATGAGCCAAAAACGCTATGCAAAATTCTGGCATTGTCATCAGGTACAAAGCCGTGACCAGAGAAAGACAAATGATACCAGAAATTAGACTTGTCAGGGCACTTCAGATGCTCCTTAACTCGGACACTCACCCTCCTTACCGTTTTCCAAAATAGGAAACATTACCGGTGGCGCAATTCAATCCATAAATACCACTCTTAACCAAAGAGTCAATGTCATTCTTGTTGTGGCACAGATTACGTGTGTGAGGGCAGTGAGGCCCGATGAGATATAACTCACCAACTCACAGAACGGCATCAACTCAAAAGAGCAACTCAACACAATGTTACCCATCTAGCAACCTGTAAGTATCTGTTCGGAAGCGCCCTATATACATTTTTAAAATGTATTTTTTAGTTGTGTGAAATTTTTTTATTACAGTTCTGATACGAAACTTAAAGATGGCAGACTTTTAAGCCGCTGAAAGTTGATAGATTAAGTTTGAAAGCTTATTGAAGATTTACTGGAGTAGTTTAAATTTAAGATTTATCCTTAAAACCTCGGAATGAAAAATCTGTAAAATTTTAATAATTTTTGACAAACTTCGTTCTCAACTAAATATATTGCATTTATGTATTGGAAATTGATAAAGACTTTCAAATTTTAGCAACTGGTTGAGACTTTATTCAGGCTTAGGATATCTCATATATCTTAGAATATCTTCATCATTATTATGCATTTTCAGCTTCATCAGCGCTTAAAACTGGTTTTTAATAGTGCTATAATCTCGAGAATACAATTAGAGCTAAACAGAACACGCACTTTACGACAGAAGCTTGATTTTAAAGTAAATTTGTTTATTTGTAAATGATTGTTCCAATTAGATAGCGCTTTTTGAGCAATGATCTAAATTTTCAAAAACTATTTTTTGAACAAGAAATGGGGAAAATATCGTACTTTAAAGGGCCGACAGAAACACGTTTCAATCGAATTGTTAGCATTACAAAGGCTTTTACTTATTTCATCCATGGTCTGTTATGAATTAGGCGAATTATTTTTATTATTAAATGAGTCATTATTAAAATCCATCAAAACTTAATATATCATACATTATTTTTTGATTATCTTTCTTGTATATTATTTTCGATCCCCTTTATCACCCTGAGGCCTCTTTGACTAGACTTACTGAAGCAGAGATTTAAACTAATAATGTCTCTAAACTTGTAATATTATAATACTTGTGAACACAGCTCATTCACCTGAGATTGTCTGTGCTTGTGATACGGAATATTTCAATAAAAATGCAAGATTTTACAATGGTTTATTTTATTACTAATATAAAGATACAGAGGCTTAAGATATACATTGAAATATAGGAATTAGTAAAGTGCATATAATGTATAATATATTTTTGTGCAAATTAGTATATTATATACTTATATAAAAATATGGAATGCTCTTCACATGTTGATAATATTAGAAATTACGTTAAATTGGCATTCCATATTTAGTAAATATTTCCTTACATAGGTATATACAGTTTAAAACTTCAAAAATATAGTTTTTTAGGACATTATGTAACTCTCACTCTGCGGTCAAAAATACCTTAGGTTTCAGTGATGAGCAAACGAGTTAGAAAATATATCTGTTTCTAGAAAGCTTTAATTGAGTGGAGTCTAGAAAAGATCTAAACAACTTAAAAATGTCAGTCAGCAAAAAATAATACTATTAAGAAAACAAATTATAGGTAAAATTAGTTAGAATCTAATCTAAATAGCAATAAGAATGGAAACTATAATTTTAACTATCAAGTAGGTACTTGTATTTTTTAAACACAGTGAATGCAAATGCTTTTGTTTTAATACCATGAAATGGAGTTATCCCCGATGGATAATAAAGGAATGGAAGCAGGACATAAATGGGGATTCAGACGTGCCGAAATGACGGGGTTTGAAGGGCTTAAAAGTTAACAACTGAAAGGCTGAAAATAAATTGAGATGTATGGATTATAATAAAGGTTAAATTCATCAAAGCCATTAAAGTGGATTCAAAATTATGCAGCTTTGCACTATAGAGTAGATGTACTAATAAGGCAATTCGAAATAACAACATTATTTAATAAACACAAACAAAGACCTGCGTAAAAAATGATTTGTATGCTCTTCTATTTATATGTCCAGTATTGAATTAAAGCAAAGTAATAATTATAATGAATAATTTGTATTATTTGGTAATATATATCCTTTACTAATAAAAAATTGATAAATATGCTAACGCCATAAATTTACTTCAAAATTAGAAAATAATAGTTACGTATATTTAGAACAAAGAAAGCATAATAGCTTAAGTCTTGACTTAATTTATAAATTTTATACTAGCGGTGTTTTTAACATCGTGAAGGATATACTTATTTAGTTATGTTATTTTCAACCTAAAATGACTTTATTAAAATGTATGTGGGCACGACATATTTCATTTAAAAAAATGTTGCAATAAATGAAAAAATGTAACAAATGGAACAAAAAAAGTTTGCAAAGTGTACTTATAAAATACATATGTATAAAGTACTTGAATATTAGTCTAATCGTTGAAAAGTAATATTTTGATGTTTTACGTTGTCTGGCTTGTCCTTTGTGTGCGTTATTGTAGTGAATTGAAGTCTTAAGCCATTGGTTCATATTTAGTTTTGTTTATAACACTTGCTAGGCAGCAGGATAAAATTACTCCTACTAACGGGAAGAAGGCGATTCCTATAGCGGCGCCAGCAACAACTTTGAAGTTTTTATTCAAAAAGTCGATTACTTTTTCATAGCAACCCTTAAACAAAAAGTTTACCGTTAACATTCATTTATTATTTATTGGGTCCAAAATGTTTCTTTTTATCGATTGTATCCTGCAAATTCGAGAATGTCTTTCAAAGGCCAAACTCACTTTTTATTAAGAGTTGAATGTTTTAAATATAAATTACAAGAATTTGATACCAAATTGGATTTTGATTTTTGCAATTTTAAAATTATATAATATCACAACACCTTTCTGGTTTACTGAAAAATTCTATAAAGTCTGTTGGCTGGATGCGTTACCTGCGTGTATATTTCATGATACTTCTCTTCAGTTCTACATCCATCCTGAATGCAGCAAGAAGATGGAATGGGCATCCTGTGAGGAAGATTTAGCCAATCGCTTGCATTATGGTTACCGCAGCATTTCAACTGCAAGAAAAGTATTCGGTTAAACCCGTATTGCACATACAATGTTTTCCTGATATTTACTAAATTGATAAATCGGGAAGTCTATTTTGAACGGTACAAGAGGTTAGATGGCATGACAGGGGAAGCCTAAAAATGAGTAAATCTGATATTTTTTCGTGGAAATCAGGATGGGCGGCATGAGTATGGAACTGGTTTCGTCATAAAAGAGCATCTTATAAAAAGTGTTTGAACGCTGCGCTTTGAACTCATAAGTGATAGGCTCTGCTACATACAAATAAGGGCATATTGGTATAAGATATCCTTATTATTATACGCTCTTACAGAAGACAAGGAGGAAGGCACTAAGGACTCGTTCTGCGACTTGCTTGAACGCACAGTAGAAAGCCTGCCCAAATAGGATATGATAGTACTATGTGCGGATTTCAACGGAAAAATGGGCAAAGAACCAACTTTAATGCCCACAATAGGTCAAAATAGCCTCCGTAATATGTCCAATGACAACGGACACAGACTAATAAAATTAGCATCAGCTAGCAACATGCTGATGAAAACCACAATATTTCCTCACAAGGACATTCATAAACAAATATGAGTATCTAACGACCATGTGACCCATAACCAGATTGACCATCTTTTTGTGAACGCCAGGCATTGAAACAGTGTCCCAGATGTAAAAAGCCTTTGAGGAGTAGACGGATCTTTTTCTGGTAAAAGTCAAATTCGAAATCAGAACATCGAGTAAGAAAAACAAAAAAAACTAACCAAACCACAAAATTGATTATAGGGAATCCAGAAGAACAACAAAAATACGAACAAGAACTGGAACAGAAACTCATTGAGAATGAAAATCCCACATTGGATGTTAAAAGTTTGAGGAACTATATTGAAAAAACGAAAAAAAGGAGGCAGAAAAAACCATCGGGACAACCAAAAAATCCGACTAAATCATGGTTTAATGAAGAGTGTCAACGAAAATTGCAATAAAGAAAGACTTTTAGAAACGCTAAGATTCAGCACGATGCACCTCAAAACCATGAAAAATATGCCAACTGTCGTAAAGAAACCGGTAAGTTCATAAAAAGACAAAAACAAGAATATAAACTCGAATGAGTCGAAAGAAACAGGTCTAAACCCGCTTCTAAGGAATTTTATGCGGCAATTAAAATTGGAAAACGAGGATATCAGCCCAGGTCGGTCCAGATGTTGAAAAGCGCTAATGGTGTCATAATAATCAACGAACACAAACAGTTGGAAACATGGAAAAACTCTTCAAAAATCTACTAAATATAGAACCCGATGAAAAACACACTGAAAACGCATACCACACAGCAGATCTACCTGTAGAAGAACCATCCATAGACTAATTTCGAAAGGTAGCAAAAAAATTTAGAAACTCAAAGGCTCGTGGATCGGATATCATACCATCAGAACTACTAAAGTACGGAGTCCATATACAGACAATTACACCAACTAATTATTTTGATAAGGAATGCGAGGAACGCCAACAAAGAGGCAAGAAAGCATCATAAAACCAATCCACAAAAAAGTGACAAGTCAAAGTAGTCAAACTACAGTGGAATCTCACTCATCAATACGGCCTACAAAGTCCTGGCCAATATTGTTCTGGTTAGACTGACTCCATACTAAGAGGGCGTCTTGGGGGAATAAGGAAAGGCAGGATTCAGGAAATTTAGATCTACTATTGACCAACTTTTTATACTCGGTCAATTGCTAGAGAAAGGATGGGGGTTCAACAGTACTGTCCATAATCTATTTATATAATTTCGGTAAGCATACGACAGCATTGAAAGATCAACTATGGAATGCAATGGCCGAATTAGCAATCCCAAAAAAACTCATTCAGATGAAGAAGGCATGTATGGAAGACCGAAAACCCAGAGTGCGAATAAATAACAGGCTCTCAGATGGCTTGAAGATACGTAGTGGACTAAAAGAGTGAGATGCTTCGTGGCCTATACTTTAATATCAGCCAAGAAAAAGCTACGAGGAGCAGAGATTAAAACAGAACTCCTTACTGCGCGAGGCCCGAAATTATTGCTAGCATATACAGATGACATTTACATTATTGGAGAATCCTCACCACGCTAAGTCTCACAGGGGAAAGGCTACAAGAGAAGAAGGACTCAATATTAACGAAGAAAAAACTAAATATACATGGTATACTATATACTACATACAGGGGCGCAGAGATCGAATAGGACAGAATGTAACAATGGACACGTATAGTTTTGAACGAGTGGAGCGTCTCAAATATCTACGAGCTACAAGTACAGCCGATAACGATGTCACAGAGGCTCTAAGCGGCATAATTCAAGCCGCAAATCGTAGTCTCTTCTCTCTAAACAACTTTTTCAAGTCCAAAAGCATCTCAAAAATTTCAAAGGTGAGAGTCTATAAACGCATTATAAGACCCATAATCGCTTATGGATGTAAGACATGGACAATGACTAAGCCTAATAAAGAAAAACTTAGGCGTTTTGAAAGAAAAATTTTCACTCAATTCTCCTTATAGCATCCGTCCATCTTGTTGGTGGTGTGCCTCTATTTCTATGGGCTTCGTTTCGAATTGGTCTCCACTCCAGAATATGCTTTGACCATCTTCCATCGGTTGTTCGTGCCAAATGGCCAGCCTAGTTCCACTTCAAGGTTGCAACTCTCTCTGTGACATCAGTAACACCCATCGTGTGCCGTATTGTCATAGTGGGTATCCTGTCTCTCAAAGAGTCCCAGCATTGACCGCTCCATATATCTCTTAGAAACACTAGCGCATATATCGCAATGTACTCCTTGCTTAAAGGACATGCGCAAGTTAGGTATTAACAAGGTATATTAACTGGGTATGGGAGTCGGGACTGATCAAAAAATACCTTACGTAATTTATGAAGGCCCCTCAATATGAATAGGGAGCTATGATAAAATATCATTATTTGAATTTCTTCAAACTTACTTATGGAACTATCATGGACAAGGATTTGTAAATAGAAACGAATCATTGCAGTATATGGCCTTTATTTGTCTGTTTGTTTTCAATTTTATGTTTTTATAGACACTTTTTGTGTCGTAATATTGAATAATAATAGTCGTTATAATCAATTAAATCGTATTGTCGCAAAATTTAGTAACAAAACACTAAGTAACTATGTTTAGGAAATATGTATTACTGAAGTTTTAATATGAAATCTCAAAAGCACGTTTCTTTTCAAAGATGAAAGACATTGTCTGAATAGAAGATAGAACAAGGCTTATATGAAATAGAAGTTTGTTTTGATTGACGTAGCCTCAAACTCACTTGCGCATGTCATTTAAGCAAGGAGTGCATTGCGATATATGCGCTAGTCTTAGAAACTCACACCGTTCAAAAAAACGTTTTTTTTTTAAGAGTTAACGTTTCTGCCCGATAGGTTAATAGTGAAGTATACACTGATTGTACGTTTTCGTTGTGAGACATTTGAAAACATCCTTAGACTTTCCAAATGCCACCGACGCCAAGCCCATTCTGCTGATCAGCTCGCAGGTTTGATTATCTGTTCAATACTCCTACCATCAACTGAGAATTCTCGCTCATGACAAAGTTGGTCATACATTGCGCTTTGGTAAAATTTATTTTTAAACCGGCTTCTTCACACGCTTCATAAAGGCTATCCAACATAGTCTGTGTCTGGTCAATACTGTCGGAAGTTCTGACAATGTCATCAGCGAACCTGTTGTTTTACGAACCAACGAAAGTTTGTTGGTGAATGAATGATTTACGTGGTCCAAAACCTTTTCAAAATCTATGAATACCAGGGCAAGTGGCTTGTTATACCCAATGCATTTTTCTATTGAAGCCTTAATGGTGTGAAGGTGGTCGTTCCTTTCATAGCCTGTTCTAAATCGCGCCTATTTACGAGGCCGGTATAAATCTAATTTAGATATCAGACGCTTGGCTATAATCTTCATAAAGAGTTTGTAGACATGTGACAATAAGCTCATCGGTCTATAGTCGTCTAGCTATGCGATGTCTCCTTTTTGTGCATTATGATTATTATAGCAGGTATCCTGCTGGGAAGGTGTTAGCCCCTTCAGAAGATATTCATTGAAAATCCTGCATATGTTTTTAAGCAATATGTTTCCTCCTGCCGTAGTAAACTGAATAACAATTTTATCTTCGCCTGGGGCTTTATTGTCCTTCATTTCTTTCAGCGACGCTTTTATCTCATCCTGGGTAACATCAGTTAACACGGTAACACAATATTCTCTGAACCTTGGTTTTGTACATGAGGCAACTTATCAGCCGAATTTTGTAAATTTTTTTTGTATAGCTCTGTATAAAAGTCCTCAACCAACTTTAAAATTTTATCCTTATTTGAGATGGTACAGCCTGCACTTTCTCCAGCTAACAGATGTTCTTCGTACCAGAGGCAACGTTTCTTCGAATCACCTTCAAACTTTTATTGCTCTTTGGTCTGCATTCGAGGTATGTTTGAAATTTAGTTCCCTTCTCTGTTTCATAAGACCCTTTGTGTTTTCACTAAGATTATTCTTTCGCTTCTTATTTTTGGAGCACCACCGTTTTTATGCGTCTTTTAACATTTTGTTATTTTCTCTATTCGCTGCTTCGATATTTACTTCCCCATTTCTCGTAAACCCATAGTTCTCAAGTTTAAGGTCTATGTCTTTCTGGTATTCACCAGTCTTTAAGATCAGACCACTTTGAAAAGACCGAGAAGGTGCTCGCTTTATGATCATATTTGCCCTCTCTAGTTTTACATTGATAGTCACTCTTGCTCTTACAATTCTATAGATGGACAGGACTGGATGAAAGTTGATTCAGTACGTTGATATATTGCACAATATTGTTCTGTCAGTAATCACATAATCGATTTCATTTGTGTAAATTCCATCAGGGGTTACCCACGTCCAGCGCTTCTGTTTACTCTTTTTGAAAATGGGTCCATTCCGCTTTATATAAGATTTGCATTCATATATCCTATAATAAGGTTGTAATGTATTGTAAAAAAAATATTTATCGTTTCGATTAAATGAAAATAATTATACCCAATTTAAATATTCATAATTTACAATGTCAAATGTTTTATTATTTTTGTGTGAAGGTACACACCTGCATGCTTGAGTTTAGAAATTTGCAGAATGTGAGATTTTTTTTAATATTAATTATTTGGCAAAATTAGGAAACAAGGGTCAATACTGCAATCAGAAATGTGGCTAGAGTAACGCAATATTGGGAGTCGGGTTCTTTTGATATACCTAAATTCCACACAACAGATTGAAAACAATGAAACAATAAAATATAACTACGTTGTCTTTAAACCCTAAAAACGATACTTGAGGATTGGCTTGACAATTTTACAATTTTTCATATAAATTGTCGATTAAATGAGAAGACAAAATAGTAATTATTTTATATACATATATCCATCTTACCGTTTCCTGAACTAGATCCAAATCAGAAGAGACTTGGGAGTTACTGTCGTTATGATAATTCACCATAACACGAGTAAGTCCTTTGTCGAAGCCTTCAGTCAACTTCGAACGGTATGCGAATATGGATATGCCAGCACCCAGTTCCAGAACAAAAACGATGGCTAAAAAGGCTCCGTACTAAAAACAAAGTTCAAGAGTAAATTGTACAGTATTGCAAGTAAATATGATAAATTGATTGGTTATATGTCTGATACCAATTGATTAGATATAGTAGTACTGTTTTGTAGACATTTTTCGTTTCATTTTGTTAAAGAATCCTCATTCTTAGAAATAAATATCGTCAACTAAACTACTCAACAAAATCAACGTTACACTAACAAATTTAGACTAATTTTGGAACTGAATAAATTCTAACTGCTGAGAGCGCAATTTCTGTTACAATTATTTTTCGGTTAGTGCGGGGTTTAGCGAAACAATAGTGCGGCAGACAAAGTTTATACAGGGCGAGAAATGAAACAATGCAAAATTGCTGAAAGTTTCCAGGTGTGTTACCAGTTGGACAAAAAGCGATTTTTTGTAATTCAACATAACAAGATTAAGGTGTACTTCACATCTCAAAAATCGTTTTTTAATTTTTCGCTCGCCTCGTTCATTTTCAAAGTGGTCATGAAATGCAATCATATTTGTTTTTCTTAAACCAATTTTCAAAATCTAGGGTTTGTGTTGCAGCTAAAACTTCACGATGGACTTCAATAATAATAATTCAATGTGCCGGGTTGAATGAATGAACTAAGTATTTGAGCATAAGCTTTACTTAGTTTTAGTTGATAGGAAAGTTATTTTTATCCAAGGTCCAAGAAGTATACCTAATTCTACCGTTGTATCTACTATTGACGTCTGACGTTTTACTTTACTTGGTAAAACAATGCAAATGTTCTAGAAAATGTTAACATATTTTTTAAAATAGATATACATTTTTAAACCTTTTTGCTACTCATGGTCTGTCAGTCTTCATCTTTTAGGAAAATTATCTGGTAAAATGAATTCAAACGCAACTCAAACATGCAAATCATAATATGATTACATATAGAGTGTCATGAAGCTTAGAGTCAAAGAAATGCTTTCAATTAAATAAAAAATCAAGTCGTGTATAAACAATGTGCACAAAAAAAAGAACATGATATTTTTAAATACGCCACAAATTATTTCGTAGAGAAAGAAAAACTGCCACCCAGCCCACTCTGATAGATCAAAAGTTATACCCAAGTCACAAAGTTACTTTGGAAAAGTAGACGAAACTGACCCTAACAAGACTCTTCGTGCGACTGAAGGAGGGTTCATGTTAGTATCTGCTGTTTACTCCTAGTGGTACGTGAGCTATCAGTAAAATAATTATAAGGATATCTATACGAGAATGGCGATATTAGGTCTTGACTTTGCAGAAAGGCCTCATGGCCTCAGAAATGTTTTTTTCAACAACCGTTTATCGCAAAATATTTCATAACTCCTTTTGCATTAAAATATAATTGTTATGTTTACATATGTAGTAATGTAACTCAAAAAACTTTTTAAAGATTAGTATTCATTAATATCATTACTAAATTCAACTTTGTAATATAGGAATGGATTTATCTTAATTAACTGGAAATAATTTCCCAAATAAGCACAAGATTTAATTCTTCCTTACTGCAAATCGGTACTTCTAACTTACGTAACGTAACTTCTCATTAACTGGATATAATACGCACAGTTCTTTGTTAATAAATATTTTATTCGAACTGGGTAATAGATGAAATTTATGATAGACATAAATGTGTGCATCAATTATTCTGTATATTTTACCATGGTTTAATAGGTTTGTTCCATGCAATCATTCTCGCATGGACGACCCATTATAATGAAGAACGGTAGCTTCATCTTCATCCTCAATTATCACGCGGCTCTCACCGCAAGTTTCGCGATTGTATTTCATATAGATGGGTCCGACAAGAGTTCATTGTTCTCCGCATTCTTAATTTAAGTTTTCTTTCGCAAAAGTAAATTCCTAAACCAACTTTTATTTGTCTTGGTTGGGGATCCGCTATTGTTCTTAAAGTAAAAGGTTGTATTCTGAAAAAATGCTGGTTTTGTACCTTTTTTTATTTTAAGGATCAGTAGAAATAAATAGGATGTAACACTTACCACATATAGCAGTACTGGTTGCCCTTTAACAGTACAACAACACGCCAATGAACCTATCACTAAAATTAAGGACCCGGTCCCTATTAGAACATACGGGGCAGTTCCACTGAATTCAGTACTCATTTCCATGTATTTGTAAAGTTCCACTTCCATCCATATACCAATTGCCAAAATGGCAATTCCAGAAATCTGAAATAATTTTAAATATTATCCGATGGCAATTCAATAAATGAAAATTTGTCATCTTAATTTATCTAAAGTGTAAAGCTGATGAGCAATGGAACAAAACATCTCAACTGGGTTTATAATTTTTCTAAAAATAATGCAAAATTGTAGTCTGTTTACAAATGCGATACGAAAATTTTTGCAGCTGACGAATTAAGAGAGAATAAGTATTCTGTCTGACTATTCCTCAAAATTACTCACTTTTTTGAAAATCTATAAAATTTAATTTGATTTAGTTCAGTCGTTAAAAGTAAAGTTTAGGTACATCTAGAACATAATGCATACATTACAATTTGACGCTTTGTTCAAATAAATGTTAATTTTCGTATATATTTTTTTCACGTTTCTTAAAGTAGTTGAGATATTCATTATTTCTATTCCCAAAGCGGCTAACGTTTATCAAAATTCACAGGCCCAGAAAAATTATATTTCCTGCAAATGCATTTCGCGACACACCTGTATTCTGAAGTCTTCAACAGTATAAGTAGTAAATTCGAAAAATCAACGAGCAGATCTGAAAATTCTAATTTTTAAAAGAATACATTTGGGAAGAAGAACCTAAATTAATGAAAAGCAATTAAATAAACATGAATAGAAAATTTAAGATCGCGTCTCACGAAACAGACCTACAGAAAAAAGGTTCGGTCGAGAAGACTATTGAATGCCTCGCACATTTACAAAAATTATCGGTATATAATAGCTTACTTCTCTACCTACGTATATAATATATTATCACTAAGCTTTTTTCAGCTAGGTTTTATTTGAAATCATGTTAGATTAAACTGTGATTAGTTTTCTTGTTGCAATTAATGTTGGAATGGAGGGGTAAAAGTGACATTCAATCTAGACAAAATTACTCCTTCTAAATTATAGCAACAATTTGGCATAGCTTAAGATGAGGACCGTTTGAAAATAGCTACAATTTCGAATAATTTTAAATGAATATCACATAATTACTAGATGTTGTAGAGAAAAAGATTAGACCCTGTTTATCGCAACTGAAATAGTTAGCGATTTATCAACATTTATCAACATACATACAGACATATATAAACTTTTAGCACTATATTTGATACAAAACATGCAGTTTAAAATATGGAACCTAATTTCGACTCATCCTCTCTAAGTGGCGCAGAGTGTGCAAATTACTGCAGATAATTAATTCACTTGTGGTGTTAAATTGGATCAAAATAGTTATAAATCTGTAAGCTGAGTAATTTAATGCCAGATCATTCCAAAATGAATACAGCTCTGAAAAATGTGATCAATTAAGCTTTTTCTTATCCATTTCCAATTCTTACTAACGTATGGGACATGCAGGTCCCATTTATTTCAAAACGACTTTAATAGATGTTATGTGTAAGTATTCAAAAATGCTGCAGCACAAAATAAATTGAAATTTCAATTAAAGTTGAGCCATACACATATTAGACTACATTTAATTGAAATTAATATAAACTTTTTATAAAATATGTATATCAAAATCACAATATTGCAACATATGTGTACAACGTGCGTATGAAAGTTCTATAGAATGCTTCAAAGCTTCACTAAATATATTTCCAATAGGTACTAAAATTTATTTTTACTGTACCAAATCTACAAATGTACGCAAGGTCTAAGACACAATATTGTGTTGTCGATGGGGGTGGTTTGATAGGGGTGAAACGCTGCGTCTCAATGAAACATATGTTTCACTTAAACATATTTTAATAATTTCATATACGGAGTCCTTGTGTCATATGCAGTAGCAATTTTATTCACTTATACGTTCAATGTGCATTTAGTAATATAATAAACCAACTTACCCAAAATATGAAGTTAAAAACCATCAGGAGGGTTTTCATGCAGGCAAGGGCTGCAACAGTCTGCAAATGTTTACCCATATTTTATAATAATGGATCAGCCGAACTCTATAGAAATTAATTGCGATGTGCTGGGACAATACTTATGATGTATTCGACGGCAGTATATAATTGAAATGATCACAATTTTATCGGCAGAATTGTCCTTGTAGCAAGAGATATACTAGTCGCTCCCTATCCAGACTATGTTTTCAGGATATTCCCTACCGTTACACGACGCAGTTCATGCGCGCAGGGAAATAAGCGTGGCGCATAGATTTTATTTTTACAATCAAATTTCATTCATTTTTATTTTCTTTAACAGCATTGATTGATTGCTCGATGCAGTCATGTAGATTAGATTTTTGTCTGGATATTGGTGTAAATTGGGTTCTTCCGAAAAGTAGAACTGTACACTAATTATTTTAGAATTTTTAAAACATACAGCTTGGTTTAAGATTATGACGAGCAACATTTTTAACGGATATGTTTTGAGATAGCTTTAATTAGCGGCCTTTCGATAAGGTGTTTTGATTTGAGACTCTCATAGAAATTGATTCGAATTTCAAATTTAAAAATGTAATATTAGGTAGTTCACTTTATAACTGATTGAAATATATTAATGTCAGTACTGATTTTTGCAAAACCTACAACTTCTTTAATTCATTTCATTCACAACCAAAATATATGTCAACTAGTTCTTACAAAATGGAAAACGTTACGCCCACCTTTCATTATCCACGAAAACCAAATTCTTATAAAATTGCTAGAGTTTACATATATGTATAACCTTCGGTTTATAAAACTCTAATAACCGGTTGAATGATGAAAGCATAAGCTCGTGTTCAACAGAACTGAACGTGAACGTGAACTCTGAAAGCCGGTGGCACAAAACTAATTCAATAATTCAATGCCAGTTGAACGGAAGTTCGAAACAAGTTTAAGTGTAAATTTAGATTTTAGCAAACTTGTCCAAATTTGACGGATTTGGTTTGTAGTCCGAGTTCATGTTTAAGTTGAGTTTAGTTGACCCAGCGCCGAGTATAAAATGAGGGGCTACAAACGGGGTAAGTTAAGATTTTGAAAGATAAAAAATGGTCTCTTGAAATATTTGAACTTTATGATGAAACACTCTGTATGGTAAGCAAATAAATAATAATTATATCACCCTGTCTGTTAGTTATGCAAATAAGGCAAATTAAAAACGATTGAATTAATTATGAGAATATCTAATATTAAAAATGACAACTGCGAATTTAAATAAGAATACGAATAGAGGTGTGATAAGCGGTTATTTTTCTGTAACAGGTTACAACATTTCAGTTTCACTATGGTAATAGGTTTCAAAATGTGGTTCCAAAAGGAACATGTTCTCAGTAATTTTTTCATTAAAACTGCGCAATGATGATAGCAATAGTGACGATTTACAGGATCATTCACAACCTTATGGACACAGAGCAGGGGTGTGTAGAGCACCTCAAAACAAGTCGAGTTTCTATTTAAGTTTTTTGCTCAGGTCCATGGTTAACAAGATACCAAAATTTCTCTTTAGCTCCTACAGTTCATGAGATGTTTTGCTCAAATTTTGAACGTAGGCTAATGTTTAAACCCTTTACCCGTAGGCAACCGTTACATAAAACATGGCTCAGAAGTAACTACTTAAAGAACAAAAAAACTGCTAATAAACTGGAGTAATTAAATAAAATATACGGTTTATATGCGAAAATGTTTGAAAATATAATTTTTATTTAAAAATTAATTAGCATTTAAGAATAAATGTTTTTGCAGATGCTGTTTACTGAGTCTAGTTCTTCGCTCGTTCATGATGAATTTATAATACTGAACAGTAAGTAATTCTTATAAACGAAAAGTCATAAACACAATCACCAAGGGAACGCGCAACTACATTCAACATATTTTCAGTTGACAAATGGTTATTGAAACTTCTGCAACTGGATGGAGCGCTCGACGATGCCGCATCGGATCTGTGCTGATGCGAACCACTTTTTCAGGTTTATGAGACGGTTCCAAAGACAATCGGCTAGCTGTAACTACAGTTTCAGGTTCCACTGTTATTTTAGCGATTACTCTAAATACCGATCATCCCTATAAGAGAAGAAAATTCTGCCTTAGTAATGAATGATTTTACTTAAAAATTTGGTTTCAAGTCCTGAATTACAAATATCGACTTATCAGCATCTTTATTCAGGCACTTAAAACCGAGTAAACAAATAGAACAAAATTTTATTTAAAATGTTGGTTAAAACAAATGCAAATTTTGTCATAAATGTTACTACTGCGAAAATTTCAGTTTATTAATTGCAGTTCAAGTTATCAATTCAATTCAAGTTCAGTTTATTCAGTTCAAGTTACCGTATTGGTATTAGTAAGTCAGCACCTGAAAATCCAGTGTTACCCAGGCCCAGTCTACCATTTTCAACTACAAAGCGGCGTTTGTAATAAATTGTCTGTCTCAGTATAAGCTAAGACCTTCTGCCAGAATACCATCTCAAGAAAATCAAAATTAATCTTTTCTTATACATTTCTGTGAATGTAGCAATCATGTAGGTCAATATTT